GTATATGTATTTCAAAATTCACCTTCAGAAAAACACACAAAAGTGTTGATTCCCATCTCTGGAATAATTTCTATACAGTAATCGATTCCAGGTTGCAATATTTTTGGATTGTGTTCGCGTGCAAATATCGAACCATTCGTTAATAATATATGAAAATCTTGCGCGTCTTCGCTTGAATTTAAAATATACCTGAAGAATAATGCAAAATTTTTTTTCAAATTATATCCTCCTAATGTATGCTTAATAGTTTCAGCGCAAAACTGCATTCTTAGAAATATAGCGGATAGATTAAGATAATATTTGAAATTAATTGCAACTATTATTTGCATTTAAATTATAAAAGAATGTTATTTATCCTTGAATACAAAACTTGAATATAAAGAATGCACGATATTACGACACAATAGATTTGAGAATTGTTTTTTCTTTTTGACATTTGAAAGCAAGAGAAAGAACATAGTAGATTTGATTATTTATATTCAATTTTACGATATTCAAATAAAAAAGTTGAGTAAAATTAATATTAATTTAACTTTGAAGTATGTACGTAATTTGAATATTTTGTACTCACTTTTTGTATTTACAGGGATTTCCAATAATCGCGACAAATGGACTTCGAACATTACCGGGAACCAGATAACCAGAATCATTAAAATCATGGAAAATAGGTGAGAAATTTTCGATAATGAAGGAATCCATAACTGTGCAAACCGCTTGGCCAGTTACGTTTATTGCAAAAACTTCGCCTACCGGGCAACATTTTCCAACCACAGGTAAATTTTTGTATTCGTCGAGTGTTGTTGTTGTCTTGTTTTCCTGTAGGATAAAATCGAAGGCCGTTTTTACGCATGTCTAAAGTACAAATCGATCTAAAAAAATTTATCTTATCGATATCAAAGGAATTGGCTATCCAACCACGAAAATTTCATTGATAAAATAATATAATGCAACATATAATGTAATACAAAACTTTACAAGAGTTTAAAGTAAACATTTATAATTAATGATTTTACATTTCAATAGAATGAATTATTAATCTTATTATGTAGATTATTATGTAATACTATTTAGAAGTGTTTATCAATTTTTTCATTTATCATTCACAATGTGAAAAAATTCAGAAAACTTTATCCAATTAATTATTCCTATTATTTAAATGGATATTGCATGCATGAATATTGAATTGCATGAATTTCAAGATTTTCAAACTTGATTTTTAACTTTGTGAAGTAACTTCATGAAAACAAATTTTAATGAAATTTTAATGAAGATTACAACATTTTCTCAACATTTTTTCCAACAAATCACCAACTTTGTTATATCTATATCCAAGATACTTTTCATTATCAATCTTAAACTATGACTTTGTAAGATTTTTTTATAATTTCAATTTTTATTGCGTAACTTTCAATTTGAGAAATTGATACGTTTGCATTATGTCTTATCATATTTAAAGATTATCTTTGAATGAGTTAATACTTACCAAAGGAATCGAATGAATGATTGGCGGTTCATCTATGCGAGCAGCGCAAATCGTCAATTCGAAAAAAAAAATCTGCAATAACACTAAAAATTTTTTCACAGTTCCAGACATTTTTTTCGATTCTATTTCTGCAAACACTGACGTAAAAAACGTTTTACAACGTTGCTTAAATATTTATGTAAAACAGATTCTTTTCCAAAATTTTCCAAATTTTCTCCTTGCCTAATGGCCACTCTGCTAGTTACAGATTTTTTCAATCTCAGTCTAATTTCTTCTTCCTTTCTCGTTAATGAAAATAACTTTGCCCGATTAAAGAAATTTTATATGCAGCCAGAGAGAAATAGAAAATTCGAAATATTCTTCTGGTTAATAACATTCTTTATATATTTCTTCTAATATATATATATATATATATCTTCTTATATATTTCTTTTATGACTCTTGATTCTGACTGTTTTTTTTTATATTTTTCACAGGATGACTTTCTCCAAATACTTGAATTGAAATTATTCAAATCGAAACAAAATGCTTGGTTAAAGAGTCAAAGACAGATTTCAGAGAGGTTATTACAGAATTATTATTTCCAAGATATTACACACGCATTTCTATCAGTTTATACAACTTCTCCTTCTCTCTGATTATTTTCTCACTTTTCGATCAAATACTGAACTATAACGAAAATAATAAGGTTAAGGTTGGCACGAGTATTAACTTCGACAGAACAACGTTTCTCTTCTTCGTCTATGCGTTTATTTCGTCGAACAGCAAAATCATTTCGGTATATTTAACTAAAGAAAACTAGTAATCTTTCGTGTCTTAATAATTCGTCAATTGTATCGTGCTTGAAATCGCAGTCTTTCGAACGAGGCCTGGAATAACAAATAACCTTATTTTATTTGTAAATAACCTTATTTAATCAATCATAATCGCGATGTAACTTTCAAGAAGCATTTATCGATTATGACTATATTTATATAATTAATAACTTTGGAATTAATATTGTAAGATGCGACAAAGGAATAATCGAAATATTAGTCATCTATCGAATGTAACGAAACTCGGTAAAAACCCGATGAATTGATAGCTCGTAGAAAAGATACCTTAAGCGTCATACTAAAATGACATTGAGTGTAATAAAAATGAATGGTCCTGGATCCGTTATTTCAAAGAAGAAAAAACCGGATTTTTGATAGAAATAATAATAAGATGATTATATAAGAAAGGATCAAAAAATTATATTCGTCGTCGCGAATTGTAGTCTTCATTATAATTATAAAATTGTGTATCGAATCGTGCGTAATTATTATATCATACCTGTTCCTTCACACTGCTAAGATATATCCACTTGGGAAAAAAAAAATTGATTACAATGGAAACAATACGTTCGTATTGAAATTACGTAACTTTTATCTCACTCTTTCCAATTATCATTTGATTAACCCGTGAAAAAAGACGACAAATTCTAACACGATTCGCGCGCAACAACAATATTCACTTTCGATTTCGATCGAATTGAAATTAAATCGTTGATGATAATTTTTCTTTTTTCGATTTTTGTCGTAACGTATTATGCTAATGCGATTATTCTTCTGTCAATTGGTATTATTTAAATTTATTGAATCACGTAATTATATATATTATATATATAATTAGATATATATATATATATATATATCTGTCGAAATCCACGTGGTTCACCCATCGATGTCCGCCAGCGCACTGGCCGTACTCCTCGAGACACAAGGCCTTTATTTATCAGTGCACGATTACTCGTACGATGCATCATACTTACATTCTTAGATCGAGTAGACAGGTGTTGTAATTACACATCGGATGGATCATTCAAAAAAGGGAATGAAAAGAGTTTCTTCTTTATCGAATTATATATCGTAGGTTAGTTACGTTCAACGCGTAATCCATCCCATATATCGATCGTTTCAATTTTCATGATTTTATAGGTTAAAAAGACAATATAGGTTAACAAGAAAAATAAAATATTTTAATACACGTATTGTTATATTATATATATATATATAAAATGATTAATGATTAATTTACTTACATAAATTGTTTAAAAGATAAATATCTTGGATTGATCCACTTTATCATTTAATTTATCAATTTTTTTCGATAGTCTTGCTATAATAATTGTCTTTACACACTGTTGCGATTCGTATTATTTTACTTGTTGATTATCTCTTATCCAATCCACGTTTAAAATGCACGAAACACATTGGTCGATGATCAAAAATATCGATTGGGATTGATCAAATTTTGAATCTCTGTTACCAGGTGAAAAAAGTCCATTTTTCTAAAGCAAGCATAACTCTTTGCCTGTCTCTTTGAGAGGAGAGATATAACTGGTACGAACACAACCTGTCTTTCGACACTCTGACTTCGATCGTGCGAATTTTTTCACATTTTTGAAAATGTAAATTGAAAATAGGTTCGAATACGACGTATTCTTTCTTCGATAAAAATCGGAATAACTAATATAACTGTGAATCAAAATGAAAACATTCGGAACAAGGATTAAATATTTTTCTCCCCTCGTTCGTTGAAATGAAACGTAAAAGAAATAATAATAATAATAATAATAATAATAATAATAATAATACGTCGAATATACGATTTGAAGGAAAATTCAATGAATTTGCGATATCGGTCAACCTCCCTTTCTACTCGTTAAAAAATACTTTTACGAACGATATCGGTACAATGTGACGTAATATCGGAGAAAATTTTTCTATTATCGCCGATCGAGATGACGTAGGCGTGAGCGTACAATATATATATATAATTTTGAACTTTGTTACAAATATCATTCCGCGAAATGCAAAGTTTCATTTGAACGATTTTCCCCGAATTCGGATTGTAGTATCCGGATGGATACACGGCCAACTTCTGTGCGTAACAGAACCGTTGTTATTCCTCGATGCAGGTGATATTTGCAGAATATCTTGATGCGCATTTGTTCGATTCCAAATCACCTTCATCCTTCGATTTAATTTGAACGGAGTAAATATAGCATGGCGGTTTATAATTAACTTTTTACGAATTTTATCTTTATGGATGGATCTTAATTAAAAATGTAAAATAAAAAAAAGAAAAAAAAAATTTGTCTCCACGTCTCTACGTGGATTGTATAGATCGTCATGGCGATAAAGATGTGTCGATGAAATGTGAATTTTTGAACGGTTGTTGAACGAGTAATATGATCACGGTTTTTGTAATTTTTTTGAAGTTTATAGTATCTACGGTTACAGGGATTAATCACCAGCGATAAATTTAGAGAGAAACCAGGATCGGTTTATCGGCTTAGAGCTGACTAGAAGTTTAAGAATTCGCAAGTTTATTTTATCAATTTTCTTTTATCATTATATTAAAGAAAGAATTATATTAATTTCATTCATTAATATAAATCACTTATTTACACACAAAGAAGTTATTGTAAATAAATGACAAAGTTTTTATAAGAAAAATTTTTCTTATCAGTTCCGGTTGTAATATACATTGTGATTTATTGTCGAGGCATTTAAATACACATTTATCTTCATTTTATAATTCTTATCGAAACAGTAAAATTATCCTTCTTGTAAAAAAAAAAGAAATTAATTTTTATTTGAAATTATTTATATACGTATTTGTGTTCCGAAAATTTTTATCAAATTAAATATAGAAAGAAATTAATTTTCGAAGATAAGATTCTTAGAAAAATTAATTTTTTTCTGAGTGGAGTGATAAAAAGTTACGCAATATATGATGGAGCAGATATATTATTGTGTACTATACACAGAGTAATAGATACATGGTAGATAAAACGATGAGTAAGTTTCTCGTATTTTTTATTTTTGAATATTTGAAACAATTTTCAGTTTAACAACTTTATAAATAGATTCTGTATCAAATATATCAATCGTTAATAAAATCAAATGAAAAGATAATAGAAGATGTACGATCTGTCAACGTGAATGTTTCTTGATATACTTATTGTTCAATCGTTATAGATGATGAATGCATAATATAATTAAATTCCTAACTAAAATCGTTGATTTTATATATACATAATATTTCCAGTAAAAATAATGTCTGACGTCAATGTGAGTATTCAGAAAAAAATTGAATACATGTATGCGATTGTAACGATGAAACAGATCTTTGTTGAAGAAAAGTCGCGAAAATATATTATTTTGGATGAAAGTGTTTAGTAAAAAAAAAAAAAAAATAAAAAAATTGAAATTATATTCTTTACGAAATATAGATATACAATGGAATAAAAACAGTCAATCAATCAATATACGTATAAATTTTTGATATTAAAAAATTTATTATATTTATGAAGGGATCATAATTCTATTCATAATTCAATATATATTCGTATTTTTATGCAACTGAACAATTTTGTAAAAATTGTGTAAGTATTGAATTTCGCAATAATCATAGAAATTAAAATCAAATTTTCCCGCGGGTATGTGTAAATTCCCGCCGGTATGTGTAAATTCCCGCCAATTGTACGGCGTTTCGATCGATTAGTTAGGTTCAGTGATTCGATTGACGTCCGGAGAGGTTAAACTTCTGCGAAGCCGAGTGAAATTCAAATTTAGCAATTGACGTAACGAGTTGTACCAGCGACCAGTTCACCGGTTTATGTTGTTAACATCAATGGAATCGGACGAAAGAATGAGTTGGACTAGAGAAAATCCAATGACGTCTTGAAACGTGTAGGCGTACCAAACCTAAAAGAAGGTTTTACCAGACCACCTGTAGCGATACCAGGAAGTATCAGGCCAAATATATATATGTGAGAATTTTTTTTACGTTTTTATTCAACATCGTATACTAAAAATATCGTTTCAAGTTTAAAACGATTTTCCATAATATAAACATTTTTTAATAATTTTACAACGAATTGGAAAATGAGAATAACAAAAAGAGGAAAAATATTTGTACGACTATAATATTAGCATTCGCTATATCGAGATTTATATTTATATTTTGATATTATTAAAATAATATAAGGATCATTCCATAAATGCAAGATCGTTATCTAGATGAATAACGTCGATAAATTTAATCCAAATATTAATAATCATCGTTATTGTGTCTATCGT